GTTGGCTCACTAGCTGAGCATGGTGTTGACAACACCAAGCCAAGGGTTGAGATGCCCTTACCGGTCATCTTTATATCGGAAAATAAATAAATAAATAAATAAGTGAAGTACTGATCCATGCTATAACATGGATGAACCTCAAAAATATTATGCCATCTGTAAGAATCCAAGCACAGGGCTGGCTGGTTTGCTTAGTTGGTTTAGAGCACGATCTTAGAACACCAACGTCAAGGGTTCAGATCCCCTTACCGGCCAGCTTCCCCCCGCCAAAAAAACAGGCACAAAAGGTTACATATTATATGATTCCATGTAAATGAAAAGTCCAGAGAAGGTTAATATATAGAGACAGAAAACTAATTATATAACTAATTAGTATTATATAATGTGATTATGTTAGCATTATTATTAAATAATAAGATTTGTATTATTTAGAAAACAGATTAGCCTGTGGCTGGGGATGGGGGTGGGTAGTAATTGCAAGGAGGCAAGAGAGAATTTTTTATGGTGATAAAAATTTCCTATTATCAGGTTGTAGCAATGATTGCATAACTGTAAATTTATCAAAAATTATTGAATTATACACTTAAAACAGGAGAATTTTATGGTATGTAAAATATACCTCAATAAAGCTGTTCAATTTGTGTTATATTGGATACATATAAAAAGAATGTAACACAGATAAGTCACTCATAATAACAGCAAAAACCAGTGGACCTACCACCCAACCTGATAGAATCTTCCCTGTGCTGGTGAAGGTCATTGTCTGCTCCTCTCCTACCCCCTGACCACCCCATTCCCGTAACTCTTATCCTGAATTGTGTATTTATTGTTCCTTTGTTTCCTTCAGAACTTTCCTCATATACATATATGGATCCCTAATGATACATTGTTTAATTTTTTTTTTTTTCAGTAAGGGGATCTTAACCCTTGACTTGGTGTTGTCATCACCACGCTCTCCCAAGTGAGCCATGGGCCAGCCCGATATGGGATCCGAACCCCTGGCCTTAGTGTTATCAGCACCACACTCTCCCGAGTGAGCCACGGGCCGGCCCTACATTATTTACTTTTGCTTGATTTCCAGTCTTAAAAATATGGCATCAAACTGTATGTATCTTTCTGCAACTAGCTTTTATGACAGTACCACAATTTATTTACCCATTCTCTATTCAGTGAACATTTGTGTTATTTCTAGTTCTTTGCTATTACCATCAGTGCTACTATGAACATTCTTGATCATTTCTCCTGGTGCACGTACAAGAGTTTCTTTAGGGTAGTACTTAGACTTTAATGAGCATTCGTAACAACTGGGGAGCTTGTTAAAATATAGATTGCAGGGCCGGCCCGTGGCTCACTCGGGAGAGTGCGGTGCTG